AGATAGGCCCATCTGACTGCTACAAGTCAAACATCTTTCTAAAATTAATTCCGACTGAAACTAGCTCTGCTCCTGCAGATCAAAAGTTCAGCAGAACACCAAGAAAAGCTGCGTGTTGCATCATCTGTGATCTCAAAGCTATATGATATGCAAAGTCAGACTATAAAGAATTTTTCTCTAGTGCAGTGTGGCTAGGATACATTTCATGAATGCGTAATAACCATGATTATTCCTAGAGAGGAAAATGCACTTAAGTTTTAATTAAACAGCTTATAATCTTCATATTTAAAGGACCAGCACACTGCGTTCAATTCCAACCTAATGTACACTCACATGGGAATGCTAAGAACACCTGACACATTGAGTCTACCGGGATAGAAGATGGTCCTCTCTGCAAAATAGCCAAAGGAAAAAAAAAAACAAACTAACAAACCAACCCAGAAGAAAAACCACAGCATCAAAAATTTGAACTTACTCTCATTCATAAACCTGATGGCACAACCTGCAAGCTAAATCAGGAAAAGTTTAAAGATCTTCAGCCACCAGCAGTTGGAGAACACATTTCATTCTCCATTAGCCAGTTCAAGTGACAGTTGGATTACCTCAGTCATTCTTATCACATCAACATTATTCATTTGGCACTTCTTTTTGACTATATTTGTTGTATTCACTTCATGAACCCAACTAGACACCAACATTTCACCCTTGCTACTACAGTTCAGACACAGTTTCTCCCAGCAAGATCTCTATCTAATGAGATCCCATTTTCACAAAGAGTTTTTTGCACAAATTCAAGATTAAATGGTATCAAAGACCCGTATACTATAAAACCAAAGTAGAAAAAGGGTGGTCTTCTGGGAAGTACTAATTTGAAGATTTCTCCACCTTACAGTTCAAAACTCCCATCATAATGAAACACAGTATTTTGACTAGCATGCGCATAACCAATGCCAGAAATCTCAGACATCTCAGCTTGGAACCAGCTGGCACTGTAGTACTGTTTTAGTACAATACTCAATACCTACATTCCCCAAATCCAGAAAGCTAGGTTTAATGGGATCCAGCTGCCTGTACAAACTGACCTGGGCATTGGTTCAGCTTGGATCAAGTCTGCTAACTGAAGGGAACACAGAAACAGTTGGAATGGAACCCAAATAACAGGTAGTCTGTAAGAGACAGGTTATTTTATTATCATTTCATTGCACACCCTGGTGTGCAAATTTCACCTACCACTCAGTCTAGTGTTATGCAGCGTAGTAGGAAATGGAAAAAATCTAGGCATCCAATTCAGTGATATAGTAACTGTTACTGGACACGAGGTTTAGAACAGGCAATATTAAATGCCTACTTCTACACTGGATGAGATGCCAATCTCAAATTTCAAAAACATACAGTGCTTATTCCCAATTCATTTGTGCTTCGATAAAAAGGTGGGGTCACCTTACAGTGACTTTCTCTTCAAAACTATGAAATATTTTTAAGACTGCTTCTGGAAAGACCTCTGAAAAGTAAGTAATGATTAGTTTACATTATCCCTCTACCAGCAAGTGAATTTATCATTTACTTCTTGACTGGGATGG